AACATATAATACAGATGAATCAAACAATTTTTTAAATGTCTAATTAATGTATAGTAAATAACAATTACTTTTTTATACATTACGTTGATGTATATGTGCAGATGAAGGGTTATATTCTCAGTATATAGTCTCAGATTAATTCATCATCACTATGTGCCATGCGAAGAGAGCTCTTGGATATCACTTAATTAATTATGGTTAGTAGTAAATGTAAAATTATTTACACTTAAAGTTGCCAATATTATGTAATCAATTATTTTACTTGAAAATAACTCCAGATAACTCATATTTATTGCAATCATCGTGGAAAACTAATTAATCTATTTTATCAAGATTTTACGAACCAGAAAACTTACATATAATTATTGCAACTTTTTTTTCACTCTTCAGATTTCATGGTTTTCGATGTTGTCACATACATAAACTAACACTGCCAGCAAATATGGATTGTAGTGAAAATTTATGCGTTCATTCACATGAAAGTTCATGTAATACTAATGGATTAATGAAATTTAAAAAAAAAATTAATAAGGTTAGTTTTGTCAGTTACTGAAAAAAATTTTACCTTTTTTTCTTTTTTTTTGAAATTACAGCATATGTTTTGAAAGGTGATAAATTTGCAGGATAGTTTTAAATTTGGTAATATGTCAGTCATCGTTACACACGATCATATTCTTCCTTCTCAGTGTCATCATCCAAAAATCGCCACTAATTTCCAGGATAATTGTCAGGTTGTATTAAATTATTTCTACCACGCTCACAGTAGGAGTACTTCGACATTTATTGGTATTTCTCAATTTAGGTTTGTGAATTTACCCGTATTCTAAAATTACCGCATTTACCGGATATGATATTCCCTAATAATTCAGTAGTTATCACTTTTCCTAAAGAGCCTCATCTAAGAATCACCTTCAATGCTTTGGATGCCTTGAAATCAGTTGACAGTTCTTCTTATCCTAACGTACTGGTCAGTTTCATATCAAATTTTCGTTTTTTTTTTCTTCTTTTTTTTGTCAAGTTTTATGAATAATCTGACATTGGGTTGCATATTTATTTAAAGAATTTTCAGACTTTAAATTAAACTGCTCAGTTAGATCTCTTTGTTTTTTTTAATACGTTGATTATCATAAATTGAAATTTCTGTCGCTGAAATAAAATGTTATAAAGAATTTTTATTGTTTATAACATTTTATTGCTAGGTTGATTTCTTATCATTTAACAATTCAAAAAAATTTTGAAGCGATAGTTACAATTTTTATTGCTAGGTTGCACCGAGTGAGGAATGGCAACGCACTCGGAAACATTTTATTCATTCGCGATTAGGCAATCGTCCGTTTGATTGGACTTATACGAGTAAATATAAAGGAACCGTAGATGGTTACACGGTATTCTTATAATTTTATTTAGTGCAGCTATAATTTCACTTTGATAATATTTTTTAATGTGATTTTCATAAATATTTGTGCCACTAGTTCATTCAAGGTCCTTCCTACAAATGAAACAATTTCGATGGAAACACTGAAACGCCGTGATCCAATCAATTTCTATTCTCAAGTTACGCTTTATGAAGATGAATTGGCTGATCATGGATGTTCTGAGGTAGTATTTTCATCTAATCAAATGAAGAAAATTAAGGGATACTCTCATTTAGTAAATTAAGGCAAGATATTTTTTTTTTATCATGGTGAAATAAACTAGAGTATGTTGCTCCAAAGTTGAAAGAGTAAGAAATATAGCGATTCTTAAATTATTTCATTTATATACTTACATCTGTAATTTTTCATTATGGCACAGTAAAGCCAAACATTCTTATTAAAATTTGCATTTAATAAAATGTATTATTAAATTTTACAACATATAAAAGAATTTCTTGATAATAATTTACGTAGCAAACAGAATTTTTTAATGATTTTCACACATAGTTTTTAGATGAGCGTACGTTTACGAGCTATGCCAACCTGTTTGTTTTTACTATGTCGTTTTTATCTTCGCATTGATGATGTGTTAGTACGTATTTGCGATACAAGACTTTACAAAGAACTGAATTCTGACAGTTTCTTGAGGCAATGGACGCATCGTGAGCTCAAATTGGCTACTTCATCATCTTGGGTTTTCTTTTTTATTAATACACTTAAAGATAATTGGTGCCTCAATACTTGTTAAACTGGTTATTATAATCAATTCTTATTGAAAAGATATCTGTCACTGCACAAATATGTTTTTGAAATATTCGTAAAATTAATGATGCTTTCTTATTTTATTTTATTTTGCAACGTATTATTTAATGATTGTTAGTGTTATTTTCTTATTTTATAATATTTAGGTGCAAAACAATGTACGATATCCTGATTTGATTTATAGTCATTTGCCAATTGTGCATGAAGAGATAGTTAAACTGGTTCCAATTCGATGTTCTACCTGACAATTATCTCCTATTTCTGTTCTGTGGAATTTAATTCTATCCATGCGATGAAAAGTTTGGAAGGTTTTAACGTTTGCACTAATTAACATTTTTCGTTTTCATGACTATTATGAGTGTATAGAATGCCTACAAATTATAATCCTTGATATTTCAAGATGCTGAAAGGCCTTTGCTAATCATTTTTTATACTAATACGATTTTAATTTTTGTACTACTGGACTTGAGGAATGACTTTTGAAATTGTTGAGCAAAATAAAACGTTAAGTCAAGTAAAATTTAGCGAAATGATTCCTCATTATTACTTGTGTTGACCTCATCTTGTTTTGGTTTGATCAGACTGCTATGTTTCATTTCATAGAATTTACTGCCTCCTTTGTACCTTTTAATCATTGTTTGTTTTTATATCATAATTACTGTAGTAAAATAGTGTTTTCATAACGGATAAAGGGATTTTATTGTTATGTTCGCTTTACTGTTGTGAAAAATAGTGAAAATTAAAGTAAATGAAAAAGTAAATAGTAAAATCAGATTTATTTTATCAAGTCTATGTTTACATGTGTTTTACGATGAATTTCAGTGCAAGAAATTCGTAATTTGTTTCATTTTGATAGGTTTTATTAAAGTTTGAAGTTAAGTCATGCTGCTGTTGTTTATACCAAATTTATTAAATTAAAAGATTTCGAATGCCTATTTTGGTAGTATTTGTTGATTTTGGTGCAATTTCTTTACTTTTGTTTTTAATAATTGTGTGTGCCACAGAAAATAGAGCAGAAAAAATGTTAAATAAGGAAATGATTTTTATAATTGATACCAGAGTTCAGTCTTACCAGATATTTATAAGCGACAATTTGAAGCTGATCTAATTTAGTTACAAAAGACTAATGTATCATATCTTGTAATCAAGAGTTCAGTCTTACCAGATATTTATAAGCGACGATTTGAAGCTGATCTAATTTAGTTACAAAAGACTAATGTATCATATCTTGTAATCAAGGTGATCAGTTAAATGTTTTTTTTTTTTGAGAATTTTTACTTATTGTTGCTCAGAAATCGTATGGATCGGTCAGTGACAAGGCACTAGTGGTCATTAATTTTGCTATTCATATAAATCTAATAGTAATTACATAATTAGCTTCAGTTCTATCAGAGTTAAACCAAGCTTGACTAAAAATGCCTGCATTGATGGCAAAATGAAAAGGTATAACAAATATTTCTTTAACTTAAGAACTTCAATTTTTATTGCTGAAATGAAATTAGAGGAAATATATTGCATAGATTTTGCAAGTTTCTTTTACATTTTCTCAAAAAACTTATGAGAACCAAAAAGTTGAGTCTTAAATATGCATAGTATTTGGTTTTGCACAGAAGTTAAGACTCTATCAAGTCAGTTTCTAACTGAGCACATCCGTTGAACATCTGTAAACAAATGATATCAGTGAAAAAGTTTATCCTTTGAGTTGTGAGAAGTTTAGAGAGAATGCTTCTTTAATTTTTTCACGTAACTTCTTTTCGCCTAATCGAAAATCAGTAGCAACTTCAATAAATCTGTCATGAACAATCACTTGTGGGTCAATGAATTCCACTGAATCCTAAAATACAATTAGATTTTATAGAAGATTATCAAACTTATTTTTGTGCAAGAACGCATGCATTTAACAATTGAAAATGCTTTAAGGATTAAATATGCATTTGCAATAATACCATTTTACCAACAATGATTGTTATTAAGCATTATTTTTATTTAATCTAAAAATGAATTGTTAAAATCAGTATCAAATTCGAGATCTTTCGTAGTAAAGCATGTTTTAAAATATGAAAAAAGTATTGTACAAAATCAAAAAATGCTTGACCTTTAGTGGAAATGGAACGCCCTTTTTCAAAGCTTTAGCCAGCTGAGGGCCAAGAAAAGTTTTAGCAAGTGGGGCAAGTTGAGCAATGGAATCACCGTTCAAGCCTCTTACAGCACTCCGATGTAGTCTAAGAATCATAGACTGTTTTTTCAAATTGATTACAAAGCTTAATTAATAGAATAATGAAAATTTAATACAATTTTGATGTAAAGCTATCAGAGAGCATTATTTCGTACTTATTTATTATTAATAATCATTTAATTAATTTTTTACAAGTATGGAAGATTAATATTATTTTAAATTATTATTATCAGTCATTTTTCTGATTATTTATCTGATTGAGCAAAATTTACTTTAATTTTTGATAGTAAAGCTACTGAAACTTAATGGAACATTTTATTTACTGTATTGTCTATCTAAAGAAATTTTGTTTACCTTACATCAAATTTGTTCAATTTCAATGCTGCAGCAAATTTTTCATTTTCAACAAGTAAACGAAGATCTGCTTGTAAGTCAGCTGCAGTTACCAGAATTTGTTTTTTTCGATTACCTTCATCTATGTAAATTAATATGCGACCGGAAAAGTATACATTCTTTTATTATGACTTCATTTTAAATTAGTAGAAACTATATTTTTTTTTAATGCTCAACAGTTATATATTCCATTAATTTAAATTACAAAAGAATAGAAATAAAAAAAACATACTGAAGAACTAAAAAAATGCTTAATAAATAGTTATATATATATAGCTATTTAGGGACTCTACTTACAAACGAGTATTTAATAAACTTGGGACGATATCAAAAGTGAATAATGGAAATCAAAAAATGAGTAAAAATTACTTTTTAAATACAGCTTTACTTGCATTTAAATTTAAAATTGGACTTCAATTTCAATAAATTTGAATGAATTGATTCAGAACTCTATTCTGGAACTTCATGAACTGCAATTATTTTGCATGAAATCTCTTTTGCTACAAAGAATCTATAGGATTCTTGAAGAAATTTTTTAACCTATACAAAAAATTTTGAAGCAACTCTAAAAAATCTAAGAGGCTTTTGTTATTACTATTACTGTAATATATATATTACAGTAATAACAAATATACGAAACAAACTTTTTAAATCAATTGAAGTAACACCACGTGATAATCCAAACTCTGGAACTTGATGCGGTAATAAAACAAATGATGACGTCATGTTTGGATATCGAATAGCTAATTCTGGTATAAGTGTACCTAAGCAGAGTGAAGATAAAAAGTTTTTTACAGAAACATCATTACGTTCACAACTTGTTCGTACGACTGATTTATATGGCTTTGGTAGAACTGATTCATCAATCTGTAAATGTTTGAAAAAATATTAATAATAACTTGTTGCAACATTCAAAATTACACAAAAATAACCTATAGAATACAAAAAAAGTGATTTTAATGAAATAAAAAGTAAATTTATTCACTGCATTTACTTGTAAATTTCTTACATATTCTACAAAGAATACAGAATCTCATCTAATCGATCATATAATTTTTTTACCTCAACAATCATACGATCACCTTCATAAGCATGGAAAAGAAGTGAATTGAATAAATATTCTGAACCATAAAAGTATATCATTCGAGATGAATCATTTGTAGTAAGCATTACTGGTGGATTGAAGGGTGTTGAGCGAGGATCACCTTCATACTTAATTTCCCCTTCAAAAAAATTCAGCACAATTTTCTCACTATTACTTTATTAATTTCTCATTAAAATAAAATCTTCTTAAATTCCAATTGTGACACTTTTTTTCATAGAAAATCATAG